GTTCTGAAGGCAAAAGGGGGTCCAACCCGTTACTAGCGTGGTGTACCTAATAAAGTGGCCGGTGAGTGTACATCCATTTATACATGGTCTTCAATGCCCGCATTCGCCCCCTACTGACCTACGGCTGAATCACAGGCATTCAGACAAAATTCTCACCTACTGGTCTCATAACGGTTGATTATGTGTTGTTATAATTCGGACATGTAACTAATCTATATCAATCAGAACATAATAGATTAAACATTGTCAACATTATAAAAAGGAAAACCTAAAAATATAGTGTTGTGCTTTTAACATCAGTACTAACCTTTAATAAATATAAATTTCTTCACCGTTACCGTGAAGGGATTCAATTTATATCATGATACGAATTTGAGATCATACCGCCCAGCCCTAGATCAGCTCCTCCTCTGGGCTGTGTCTCCAAGCTGAGCTTCCTCATCACAGAGCACACACACCCACCCCCATGACTTCTGCAGGCAGGGCCGGATTTAGGGGGATACAGGCCCCTGGGCTTGAGCCAATAACGGGCCCCTAATTATTTATGACTACAACCCCTAACAAAAAGTCTGGAATCACCAGTCTTGGATGAGCACTCATTCAGACATTTCATTCTGTAAAACAAACTCAGATGAAAAACATGATACAATAATAAGGTCATTCCAAAGTGCAACTTGTTGGCTTTCAGGAACACTCAAAGAAATGAAGAGAAAACATCGTGGAAGTCAGTAAATGTTACTTTTATTGACCAAGCACAGGGGGAAAATATGGAATCACTCAATTCTGAGGAAAAAAAATATGAAATCATGTAAAAAAGATAAACAAAAGACCATTCAAAATACATCACTAGTATTTATTTGTACCACCTTTGGCTTTTATAACAGCTTGCAGTCTCTGAGGCATGGACTTGATGAGTGACAAACAGTATTCTTCATCAATTTGGTGCCAACTCTCTTTGATAGCAGTTGCCAGATCAGCTTTGCAGATCGGAGACTTCTTGTGGACCATTTTTTTCAGTTTCCACCACAGGTTTTCAATTGGGTTGAGATCTGGTCTATTTGCAGGCCATGACATCGACTGAATGTGTCTTTCTCCAAGGAATGCCTTCACTGTTTTTAGGGGTGTCCCGATACAGATTTTTCACTTCCGATACGATACCGATATTGCAGCCTTGAGGATTGGCCGATACCTATATTGTCCGATACCGATATCAGCACAAATTATATACTTTTATTACTTATTTTGTAATGTGGGATCTAAGAAAAGTCTTGAACGAGTGATATTCAAACAGAAAACAATACTCAACAACAGCAGGTATGAGAAAAACTGACCCATTTATTATTAACCAATGGGTTACATCAATTTTAAACTTAACAATAAGAAAATTCTTCAACTGAATAAAATAAAAATAAATAAAATTAGAAGACCCTGAAAAATACTCTCAATAAATCCAACAAAATGTAATATATTTTTAAAGTGCAAAACAATAATTCAAGGTCACTTCAGTATTTTTTTTCCTGTCAGGGCCAGCCTGGTGCTGCTGATATGATGGGAACAACTGCTTAGTCTTCACTCAAGCAATAGTGAACAAAATAAACACATCACTCTTTTAACAAATACTAAAGTTAGTCAGTTAACTAACTATGGCTCCATCTCTGATTTCTGTAGTCCAAGCATGATATGCAGATTATTTTTTAGGAAGATGAGCATTTCAGCATGCTGAGCTGTCAGCTTGCTCCTGTGCTCCTCAATGATAACAGATGCTGAGCTAAAGAGCCTCTCACTCTCGACACTTGTGCAAGGAGCACAGAGGAACTTGGCTGCTGTTGCTGCCAGGGTGGGAAATCGTGCTTGGTTGACTCTCCAGTATGTAAAGGATTTTTCTTACATTCAATAGGAGTCTCACAGAGGTAGCTCTCCATTTCAATGATTGCCCCTGGGGTGATCTGGTCAGAAGGACCTGCTGCTGTGCTGCTCTCCTCCAGTATCTCGTCGAAGATGCTGCCAAGGCTGCTGCTTGCACCTTCCGTCCGTGGAGTCTTCTTCATTGGCTCTGACACAGTTTCATCAGCTGGAGGTGTGGTGGTCTTCAGCTGTCCTGTTTTCAACACAGCTGCCTTTAATGCTGCCTTTGCATTTCCCAGGTTTTCTGCATTGGTGAAGTACCTGGCATAAATAAAAAATATATATAAAATTACGTCAGAATGTACAGTGGGGAAAATAAGTATTTAGTCAGTCACCAATTGTGCAAGTTCTCCCACTTAAAAAGA